ACCGGTCTCTCCTCACAACATGTCCAAAGTATGTTAGACGCAGCCTCAGAAAGCAATATGAAGATTTATTTAAACAATTACCTTCTAATATTTAACAATAATCCCTACTATGAAGTATGTCCAAACAATGACAAATTCATTATGAAAATGCCAAGCTACTTTGGCCCTTTTAGATTTTCTGACTCAAGCTCCTTCTATATTTCATTATCATTCTTTGCCTCATCTTCCCAAACTGCCCTTTGAAATCTTGTAGTCAGCTCCTTAACTTCTTGATTTCTTCCCTTTGCTTTGGCTTCTCAGCACTCTAGTGCAATATTCAGAAACTCATCTGACATCCATTTTGGTCCTTTCTTCATCTTCTTTCTTTGTACTGACTTTTTGCATTCTTCCTGAAAGATATTCTTGCTATCTTCCCACAGCTCATAGGTCGTCTTCATTCATTAGTATTCAAGGTCTCAAACCTATTCCTCAGTTTGTTTTTAAAATCAGGGGGGATAGACTCAGATCAAATTTGGATTCCTGTGGATATGATTTAACATTTTTAGTTTTTATTTGAACTTGTATATGAGCAGTTGATGCTCTGTTTCACAATCAGTACCTATCCTAGTTTTTACTGCTGATATAGAACTTCAACAACAAGTACTTCCACAGATGTAATCGATCTGATTCCTGTGCATTTCCATCAGGTGAAATCCATGTGTATAGCCTGTGTTTGTTTCTTATAAAAGGTATTTTCTATAAATAAATCATTGATTGTATAGAATTCCATCATTCTATCCCAAGCCTCATTTCTGTCACCAAATTCATATTTTCCAACTACTTATCCTTCCTACTGATTTGCAACATTCGCATTCCAATCACCCATTATTATGAATGCATCTTGGTTACATAATCACTGCAACTGTTGCCAGAAATCATCTATTCTGTCCTCTTTGGCTCTGATGTTGGCTCCTCAGTTTGAATGGTATTGGTATTAACAGGTCTTCCTTGTATGCATATGGGTATTATTCCATCACTTACAATACTGTATTTCAAGATGGGCCTCAAAATGGCTTTTACAAGCTTATGTAGAAGAGCTCAGGGACTACAAACATTATTGCCAATGTCAGAAAGCAAAGAGTACCAGAAGAACATCTATCTGTGTTTCATTGACACAGCATTTTACTGTGTGGATCACAACAAATTGTGGCTAACCTTGAGAAAAATGGGAATCCCAGAACACTTGATTGTGGTTATGCAAAATCTAGACCAGGAAGCAGTCCTCAGGATAGAGCACAGAAACACTGCACGGTTCAAAATCAGAAAAGGAGTGCATCAGGGATGCATCCTGTCTCCTTACCTTTTCAATTTGTATGCAGAACAAATCATTTGGCAACCAAGGCTTTATGAGGAAGAATGTGGCATCAAGTTTGGAGAAAGACTGTTCAACAATCTACAATATGCAGATGACACAATCCTGCTTGCTGAAATGGAGGAGGATCTGAAGCACTTATTGCAGAAGGTCAAGGACTACAGCCTTCAATATGGATAGAAGCTCCACATTAAGAAGACAAAAGATTTTCACCACTGGGCCAACTGGCAGTGCCATTATGGATGGAGAAGAGATTGAGGTTGTTAACAATTACAGCTTGCTCAGCTCCACAGTCACCACTCTTAAAACCAGTAGTCAGGAAATCAAAAGATGAACTGCACTGGGAAAATCTGCTGCCAGAGACCTTTAAAGAGTTTTGAAAAGCAGCGATGTCAGTATAGAGACTAATGTGCACCTAATCTAGGTCATGGTCTTTGCAGTAACTTGTTATGTTACAGAGAGCTGGACAGTGACTAAGGATGACAGAAGAAGAATAGATGCCTTTGACTTGTGATTCTGGACAAGAGTATTGAACATACCATGGACTGCCAAGAAAACAAGTAAGTCTATCTTGGAGAGGGTGAAACAAGGTTTCTCCTTAGAGGCCAGTACTTAGAAGCTCCATCTCACATACTTTGGGCACACAGCCAGGATATACTGGTCCATGGAGAAGGACATCCTGTTTGGAAGGGTGGAGGAACAGTCCAGGAGAGGAAGATTCTGGATGAGATGGATTGATACAGTAACTGCCATACTGGGGGATGGTGTGTCAGAATTAGTGAGACTAGCTCAGCATAGGGCAGGGTTCAGAGCTGCTGTACACAGGGTTGCGATGGGTCACAGGCAGCTCAATGGCACGTAACTACAACAACAACAACTTCTCTGGTGAATGAAGCTGCCAAATGAAAGGTATTCAAGGCAGAATCAAAATAAGGTAGCCTGCTTCCATAAATATTTATAGCCTTGGAAACTCTATGAGCAATTCTTTTCTGTTCCGTTAGGTTGCTATGATTCAGAATTGACTCAGTGCCAGTGTATAGTGTATTTTCCCCTAACTAAACCTTGTTATTGTTATGGTGTGCCATCTTGTCGGAACAAACTCATAGCTGACCCTCCAGCAGGTTTTTAAGACAGTTAATCATATGAAAAGAGACTGTCCATTTTTCTCCCACACAGCAGCTGATAGATTCAAACTTTATGCCACTGGGATTACAGCATAGGTTCTTAACATTAGGCCACCAGAGCTGCAAAGTAATCCATGAGTAAAAGGGAGTGGGAAATCAGGAGGTATTTTTCAACTATGAAAAACTAAAACACATTAAAACGTCTTAAAGGAGGAAATTTTAACATTCAACGACTATATTAAAGGAGCTAGAAGCCTAGTGGTATGGAGTTGCACTGTGAACTCAAAAGCAGGAGGTTTGAATCCAGAGCTGCTTTGCACATTCTCCTCCAATGGGATTTATAACCTCTAAAAAACCCTCTGGAGATTTGGCTAAGAGTCAGTTCCATTCCACAGCACATAACAATAGCCTATGTTATGTGTGAAAAATAAAATAAAGGAACAAATCCTAACTTGGAAACAGGTTTAAAAAGTCAGTAAAAGAACTTCTTATGCACACCTATGTATATTGGAGGCAAGGATTCTGAGGCTTCATCTGACATACTTTGGACATGTTGTAAGGAGAGACAGGTCTTTAGAGAGGGACATCATGCTGGGTAGAGTAGAGGGACAGCGCAGGAGGGGAAGACCCTCTATGAGGTGGATTGATTCAGTGACTGGGGTAATCGGGATTGGCGTGTCAGAGGCAATGCGATTGGCACAGGATAGAGCAGGGTTTAGGGCTGTTGTACATAGGGTCGCTATGAGTCGCAAACGACTCGACGGCACATAACAACAACAACAACAACAATGTATATTGTTGCTTTGTTCACAATAGCAAAGAATTAGAAACAACCCTAGTGCCCATCAACAAACGAATGGATAGAGAAACTGTGGTATAGCCACACAATGGAATACTATGCAGCATTGAAAAACAAGGAACTCATGCAATATTATTCAAAATGGGTGAACCTGGAAGAGATTATGTTGACTGAAATATCTGAATCACAAAAGGACAAATACTGCATAATGCCACTGTTATAAAACAGGACTGACATCAGGTTTGGGGGGGAAAACTAAGAAAAGAGGGGATAAATAACGTATACTGCATTGAAACAGATGAGGAAGTGAAGTGTTTAAAAGGGATATATAATTAGGTATTATCTGCATGGCAAGAGTCCAGAATAAGAGATACATAGGGGGGGGGGGGGGACACGGACCATTGGTTGGGTTTGGCTGGTTGTGTAACAATGAAAAAAATCATTTTCTTCTCAAAGAGAAAAGTGAATTGAGAGATGGAGAGTAGGCAGGGAAG